GACACCTGAAGTATCTGGGTATATTTTGTAAAAGTGGAAGCAGTAAAGCCACCTTCCTAAATGTTTATAGAGAAACTGAATTAGAGCCAAAATAATTCTTTAGCCATAGCTACATATCAAATTCATTCAAGCTTTTGAATTCATCAGGAAGCTTCTTGGGGCCAGCGGCCTGTGTTGGATACACAGGGAGGCATGAATGCTGCATGTTCATCTGCAAGACTTGATAAAGTTGTCTTGGAAGGAAAAAGAATCTGAGGACAAACAACATTATACAAGGGAGCAGTTAACAGGTTTCCAGAAGAGAACGCAGACTGAAGGGATAAAAACAGACGATTAAGATCAGACGTTGTTAGTTTCAAGAAAAATTCTGCTGATGATAACTACAACAGGATTGTTGAAACTAACAATCCTGGAGGAGGCTCTTTTTAAGTATTTTCTTCTTGCCTGACTCCTGTCTCCTTTCTCTCCCCCCTCCCCACTTCTTTTCTTTCCTTCTCCTTTTCTATTCTTTCTCCCTCCATTTTCCTTTCTTCTTTCCCTGTCTTTCCTTTCTCTTCTCTTTCCACCCTCCCTTTCTTCTTCTCTCTTTTCTTTTTTCTGTCTTTTAAAATATGATTTGTCTTAAAAACTCTACTTGGTGATTCTCCAGGAATGTGCAGTTCAGCTACACAGCTGGGGACACTCAGGGCTTGAAACAACGCAGCCCTTCTTGGTGCAGGAAGGTGTAGACAGGCTTAAGCACCCTTGTGGGGTTCAGCGGAGCTTCAATTACACATCGAGTGAGGTAGGACTTGTCCAGTGACAATATAAAGGCCATTAGCAGTATGTGATTTTTCTAGCCTCAAAGAACTCAGCTCAGGGTTGAAAACACCGACTCAAGAAGACTGAATATCGGTGAGAAAACCACTGGAGCTGCATTTCATGTGACACTCCGCATCTCTTGCTTGCTAGGAAAGGGCTGGGTCCCAGAGCCACTCCTCAGCCCTTGGCATCCTTAACACTCTTCTGCTTCAGCTTGTGGGATGCTATTATTCTCTAGTCCTTCTTAAAATCTGGAGAACCCTATTCTAACTCCATTTCCTTTACTGAAATCTAAAGCTGTGCTTCCCAATTGTTTCTTTTTACTCCACACTCCCTAGAGGAGTTGTTTCCTTCTGTGTCACTTACTGTACTTTACTAACGTGACCAGCTTACGTATCCAGCTCCACGTCACTAGCTCTACTCTGCAGTTGGTGAATACATGAGGGGATCAAGAACTGGAGGCAGCAGGAGGGACAGGAAGGGAAAGGCTAAAAAGAATGAAGATGTGTTACATACACGGTCAAATGTCCCACAAAAGATGTAAGCATTATGCCTTGCAACCATATAGTGAGAAGATACATGATAAAAAAATACTCTAATATCTTGAAACTCAAAATATGCTAAAATTGGGATTTTTTTTTCCATTTTCCTCTACCTGTTGCTTCTCCTGATAGCTACTCCGATAACAGGACTACCAGTTGATCATAATAGGAAACTTCTTCCAAAATCACTAAATGCTATCAATTTTCAAAGTTTGGGAATTTACTCCTAATCCCTATATCCTCTGGTATTTCCTGAAATCATGTCTTAAAATAGAAACTGACAAGTCAGGTGCAGTATGACATTAAAGAATTCACACCTGATGAAAAAGTTGTACTTTTCTAAAATGATAATTACTGTAAGAAGACAGATGCAAAGTGCCATAGTTTACAGAGAAGGAAGTGGTACACCAGCAGTATGTCTGATATAGTCTGAAAGCTTTGATAAAGACATGTGAGATGGCTCTCGAGTGAGGTCCAGCGTTTCCTTGGTGAGTAGGGGAACTTTAGATACAAACTGAGGAAAAATAGGTATCAGAAAAAGCGTATAAAAAGCAAAGAAGAGATCGCAGGTGAGGAATATTATTGATGAGGCTCTAAAGACAAGCTGAAGCTAGACTCAGAAATGTCTCATGCCAGGCTAACCGGCTAACTCTGTAAAGCAGAAGGAAACAATGAAGTGTCACCAGATTTGTGGTAGAAAGGTGCAACTCTGAAATCTGAAAGATACAGTATTTACAAACTTCACGTGAACTATCTCCCCAGCAGATATTTGGAACTATATGGGATTACTTGTGCATCACAATGACTAAGGAATGCTACTAGCTTGTAGGAGGCAAAATTGGGTGTGGTTCTGTCTTATATGGGATAGTATGTACAGCACATGAAGTCTTCCAATAACGAAGACTATCTCATCCCCAAAGCTGGTGGGACTGCACTGGGAAACACTGAATTCATAATTTACTAAATGATGTTTATTATGAGTCTTAACATGTTAAATATTCCTACTGTTTTAAAACTAACCAGGAGTAAATCCCTATTCAATAATCTTCAAAAAGAGAATACTCAGTTGTATAGGCTTTAGCTCTTTCAGACCAATTCTCCAGGAGATAAAACTACAAACTTTGCACAAAATATAAAACTATAAAACAGTTGAATGCAGTGAAAAACAACTCAAAACAGGCTGATCGAACAGTGGTGAGAATGCTTGGAAGAAGAGAATAGCCCTGGGTGAGTGTCCTAGTTTTATAGATTCTAGATTGAATCATGTGAAGCCTTTGGTTTTACTGATGATAAATATAGGGCAGAGTTAGGCATAAAGACAGCTACTCCCCAGAATGCAAAGGAAAAGTCCAAGTAAAGAAACAGTGAGAGAGGCAAATCCTGCACCTGAACTTAGCCCAGTCTGGCTGGTCTCTGGAGCATGCATGCGCAGAACAGCTTCCAAGGGAGGCCAGCCCAGATCAAGAACAGAACTGAAAGTGGAGCTGCCACCAATGGTAGGTCAGCCAGAGCTTACAAATGGATGCTTAATCAAGTGAACTACCAGCTTCAAAATAATGTTATTGCTTTTTATTCTCTTCTTTTTTGTATTCTACGGAAGGGTCTACAGGGTGTTTAGTGTCTCACTTCTAGATTGGACTCATAGTGATCTGCCTGTTTATGCCTCCCAAGAGCTGGGATTACAGGCATGTGCCATCACGTGTAGTCTCAATTGCCATCTCAGCGTGTCCTGGGGATGGGGCCAGCAAGGCAGGCCTGGGGATTAAACCCCTGGCCCCTGCGCCTGCTTGCAGATGCTTTAATCCACTGAGCTGTTTGGCTGGCTTACTTTGTATTCTTGGAAAATTAATTAGTTTGAAGGTTAAATAAAAATTTTAATTTCTGTGCCAGGTGTGCTGGTACATACCTGTAATCTCAGCACTTGGGAGACTGAGGCAGGAGGAATTAAAGGCTAGTCTGGATTACAGTGAGTTCAAGGTCAACCTATTTTACAGAGCAAAAGTGAGTCAGTCTCAAAAAACAAAAAAAAATTGTAATTTTGCCATGAAATTCAAAATTATGCATATGTGTATGTAGGTATTTGCTTCACAATCTAGAAATTATTTTCTACCAGTTAAAATATCCCTCTGAAGGGCCGGCCAGATAGTTCAGCAAGTTAAAGTGACTGCTTAGGCAGTTGCAGGGGCTGGGGGTTCGATCCTTGGCCTGCTGTGCTGGCCCCACCCCTGGGGGGGCGCTGAGACCATGACTGAGACCATGACTGAGACAGGTGCGGCATGTCTGTAACCCCAGCCCTTGGGAGGCTGAAAAGCAGGAAGGAAAGTTACTGGAATGCTCAGAATAAGACCTTTTTTTGTTGTTGATTTTGGTTTTTTTTACAAGGTTATTTTCCTCCTTTGAGATTATAATGAACATGGTCAGACCACAAGTAAAGTCAGAAGTAGGACAGAGGATGCTCCAAAGGCTGGTTTGGTCATCTGCGGATTATCAAAACTGGCTGACCCCTAACAATATGTACAAAAATATAAAATGTAAAGTAACTTTTTTTGTGTATGTACTTAGCTGTACTATAAGTAGTTGGTTTGTGTGAGATGGTTAAAAAGGCCAAAGATAAAAGGTTTCTTTTATTCCTTTTTTTGTCTCTGAAGTTGCTGTTTATTTTTTTGGCCTGTTTGATATATGGTGAAACAATGTTGTCCAACAATAAACCAGAATTTTTATTTTATTGAGTTGTTCTAAAATAAAAAAAAGAAAAGCAGGAAGGATCACTAACAGTCCGATCTGTGTTAATGAGCCCCTGTAGACCCTGTACTACATACATAAAACAAACACACACACTAACAAAAATTCCTCTGATAGTACAAGTATATTTGACTAAGATTTTTTTCATTGAAAAATCTGTAGGATATCTTTACAGTTGTAACATTAAAAGTCCTGTCAACTTAGGGTCAGATTTGGAAGCAAGCCAGGATTCTGAACTTCTATAAATTAGCAGGTCTATGACATACTGTATCATTCCTAAGCTTTTGCTTTTTACTTACAGGTAAGTTTTAACTTATTATATAAACATGGTCCCTATTAACCCAGGGATGTGTATTTTAATTACAGAATAGTCCATGAAGATATAATTAATCAGGCCGGCCAGATAGCTCAGCGGATTAAAGTGCCTACTTAGGCAGATGCAGGGGCACAGGGGGTGGGGTGGGAGTGGGGTTCGATAACGGCTGGCCCTGCTGGCCCCATCCCAGGGCGCGTTGAGACCATGATTGAGACTGGGCGTGGTGGCACATGCCTGAAATCCCTGTGCTTGGGAGGCTAAAAAACTGGAAGGCTCACTATGAGTCCTATCTATGTAGTGAGACCCTTTAGACCCTGTACTAAACACATAAAAATATATAATTAATCCATTTGCTTTCCACTTAGTAGTACTTTCCTGTCATTACCTAATCATGCAACATCTGTAAATGCTGTGTTCATACCTAGCTATCACTAGTACCTGGCAAAGGACGCAGCACATGAAGACCTTTAACAGAGATGTGCTAAATGGATGAAGAATATATGCTATCATCACGTTATCCCCTTCAGTGGATTCTCAACACAGATCATCAAGACTAGGAAAACAACCATTATTAATCATATAAGCAAGCAAAGGTTTATCAGGGTTCTAATACTATTTTATTCTGCTCTTATAAGGGTAAATTTTAAATTCAAACACACGTTTAAAAAATGCTAAATGCTTTAAAGGATGTATCAAGATGACTAACCTGGAAGATTTTAAAATGAAGAATCAAATGACAAATTTATATTATACAAATAAGGGCTGGTTTTGCATAGCAATATGGTACAAATCAACACTGTTTTCAAATTCAAAGAAAAGGAAAGCTGGTATTGGCTTCAATCTGAAGTCAGATCCAACTTTTACAGATAACTATATTCTCTGATTTGACTAAATAAATTTCAAAACTCAGTTTTAGAGAGAAAGAAACACTTTAGTTGAAATCTTTACAATAAAATAATGATTATAAATCTCTTTAGTTAAATATGTACACAATTCACTATATTTTAAAAAATGGAAATGGATAAAGTTTTCCAGGTAAATCTAATGCACAAAACCACCATCTTATAGATTATAGTGTATGTCAGTTTAAGATTCTTTAACAGCTGGGTCAGATCATGGCTTGGCTTTGTGCAAAACATAATAAGCAAAATTAAGAAAAGTCCTGAAAAATTTTTAGGTCCCCCAGGAAATTACTAAAAAAGAAAATAGTGAAAGAGAAAGAGGTTGTATACTCAAGCTTGACTGCTTACAGAGGCTTGTGCGACCAACATGGTGGTAACCCCTGCTTCTGCTAATGAGTCCCTGGATAGTTTTAGTCTGAAGTAAAAAGCAAAAGTCCTAGCGATTGTGCTTTTATGCAGCCACATGGCCAATAAGGTAGATGTTGTCATAAAGATGCCCTACAAAGTCTTCACTAATGTTCTGAGCAGCACGACGGGTGTTTCGAATAAATTCTCTTTTTGACATTTTATTCTTCACATGAGGGCTAGTGAGGTCAATGGAAAGTAGAATCAGAGAGTAGCACAGTACATAGACAGCATCTGGAAGGGAAAAAAAAATGAAATTATGACCCGCTTCAAAAGACACTCCACGGATATATATAATTTTTTACATATATATGTAGTATCTAATATTATGCAAAAATTGACATAATATTAAGATAGCAAGATTAGCTTAAATTAATTGGATGACCAATTATTTCCAATTTAACTACACTTTCCAATTTAGCACTGACATTTTTATCTTGGATAATTCTTCAATACTGGGTAAAGTGGGGCAGTTATCATTTAGTCTGAATGCCAATTCAGTGAACAGTTTCTTCAAAAGAATTTTAGAATGGCTTTGGAGTTTATATTGACAATTCATTTTAGATTTGAAAATTTTAGAATCTTCTTTCATAATTTTCTTTCAAATATGTTATTTATGTTTAATTGGCACTACAATATAATGTATACCATTTTTAAGATTATTAAATTACTATTTTCATTCGTGATTTATTTTAAGTCTATGGAATTCACATCTTAATTTCAAGAGTAAATTTTTAGGGAAAAGATGCCCAGACCTAAGGTCCATGCCTAAATTTATTTATTTATTTTTTAAAATCTATTTGGTATAGGGTCTCACTATGCGGCTAGGACTCATAGTGATTTTCTTGTCTCAGCCTCCCCAGTGCTAGGGTTACAGGCATGTATCATGTGGCTAGCTCAGCATGCCTGGGGGACAGGGAACATGTGGCATATGGTGCTGCGGATTGAATCCCCGTCTCTGAACCTGCCTAAGCAAGAGCTTATTCTGCTAAGATATCTCACTGGCCTGTAATATTCTTTATATAAGCTCAGGGCAAATAGGCAATTAATACTATAATGGTAGCACATTTAGGATATTTGCTACTACTGTAGTACTCATATTTTAGAATTCTTCAGTGTTTTTTTTTTTTTTTGCATTTTAGGGAAGGGTCTAGAGGGTGTTCAGGGTCTCGCTACCAGATCCTACTCATAGTGATCCACCTGTTTACAACCTCTCAAAAGCTGGGATTACAGGCATGCGCCACCACGCCCAGTGTCAATTGCTATCTCCCCAGGAGTGGGACCAGCAAGCAGGCCCGGGGATCGAACACCTAGCCCCTGCATTTGCTTGCAGGCACTTTATCTGCTGAGCTATTTGGCTGGCCCGAATTCTTCAGTGTTAAGGAAGTTAAATTAAACTTTATATCCTGTAAAGCATGTTTAGTAAATTTCATATGATGTAAATGTCTTATAATCTCTGCTTCAAAACACAGAAGCAGTGCATTTTTTCACATGAAGAAATAAAGCTGTTTCAAACAAAAAACTATGTAGGAGACTCAAGCAGGATTACATACATACATACACTCATACACAGAAATATACATATGATACATGCAAACACATACACATGATGGAAGCTAATCACATCAAATTTTAGCAGAAAAACACTGTTCTCTATGAAATGTGTGGATTATTTAAGGTTTGAAAAGTAATTTCTCAAGTTTTCAGTTATACAAAGCAAAAATATTCAGCACTGAAGAGTGTTAAAGAATTAGCACAGGTATGTTCAGCTTTCTTCCTAAAATAGTTTACTAACTATATGTAAATTATATCAGTGACTAAATAAAGGTCTGCCTAAGTGTCCCTAAATGGAGTAAATGCTACAACACTAGAAGAAATATTTTCAATTAGTAGAAGTATTTTTACTCACAGAAAGAAAAATTTATTATAGAAGACTTGCTTTTACCTGGAAGTGGCAGGAGAAGGGGCAGATATGAACATAAGTATGCATACTTACCAGGACTAAGGCCAAGTTCTCGCATTAAATCAGGATTACAAGCACAGAACCTATGTGAGAACTTTGTTATAAGAGTTTCAAGGTATTCTCCACGCTCCTCAGGGGCATGGATGTGACGAAAAAATTCTCTTAGTGCATTTGGTAAGAACTGATTTCTAAAATTATGCAACGTCACAAGGTCATCCAAGACATCTCTCCTATAGAAAGAGAAAAGATTAAAGCTTTAATTAATTCCACCAAAAATGAAAAAAATCATAATTTATCATTCTTAGCAATGTTTATCAGCTCAGATAACCCTATCAAAGCATATATTTTTAAATTTAAAACATGTAGAATTATTTTAAAAAAGAGCTTAAAGTCTTTCATGAATAGTTTGCACAAAACAAAACAAAACGAAGTACAGTAAGGAATTCTACTTGTAAAATGAAGAAAAAATTTCAGTAATAAAAACTTTTCAATGTTTTCTTGACTAATCCCAACAGTAGTAGAATTGTTTAATTCTTTTTAGTACAAGAATTCTTTACTTTATAAATTATGAAAGTTATGAGATACTTCATCTATCAATTAAGCCATATTTCTAGAGGTGACAACTATTTATGTAGATTTTTAAAAAATTCCAACATATTCTATATAGGCATAGTAGGTATTCTGTGGCTTACTGTCTACTTCTGTAAATAACTGTATTAGAACATAGCCACATTTATGTTTATAAACTGCCTGTTTTTGCTTTGACAACACAATGGCAGAGTTTTAAGTAACTTCAACAGTGATTACAAAGTCAGCAAAGCCTAAGCTGATTATAGAAAGATCTGGTTTGTTCTATTACAAAAATCAAAACAAAGGTCAGGGACATACCTTAGTGCACAGAACCTGCCTGGCAAGTGCAAGGTTGTGAGTTTCATTCCCAGTATCAAAACAATAAACCAAACAAAACAACAACAAGAAGTCCTGACAATCTCTAGGTACCTAGTATATGAAGATAAAAAAGTGCTAATGACATTTTTACAGAAGAGGCTGATTTCAATGGCCAGTATGCTGGACTACAAACTCCTCGAACAAGGATTATACCTTTACCATGTGTGCTACTTCTAGAGTGTAATAAACATTTACAGAATGCTGTTTAAAAATCCTGAGAAATCAAAAGGATTGAGAATTATAATGTAAAGCAAGCACAATTTGGAGCTATACATCAGGTGAGCTCAAATAACAGGTTATCTATTTTATGTTAGCTGCACTGCATCAGAAGTTCCAATATTTTATATTCCTTAATAACCAGAATAAAGGGGTCCAGGGAGATGGCTCAGTGGTATAAGTGCTTGAGGGGCCCAAGTTCAATCCCCAGTTCTGCAAAAACAAAAACAAAAACAAAAAAACCCGCCCAGAATAAAGGAGTACAAATGAAGGATTATGAAATCAGAATAGCACATGAACCATCACTTCTGCATAAAATATACTACTGCACCATCTTCAGAACTTTTTGAATATGTACATAATACTTCTGTGTAGTATTGCTATGTAAATATATACTCATTCATAATTTCTTAAGTTTTATGAGTTTATTATTATTGTTGTTATAATAGACTTTTCTTTATATAATTTCAGAATCTAGAACTTTTATTTACTTAGATTATGGCAAGTATTAAGAAACAGTCAGGGCTTCTGATTCCACAAAAATATCTGACTGCAGTTGCCCTTACGAAGACACCAGCCTACCATTTGCTGTGTGTGTGCTCACAGGCTTTCTTTACTTTTATAATTGTAACTGTCCTCAGTAAGTTGAAGCTCACAAAACCAATAATGCACAAGACACAGTAACTTTGTTCTGTGGTTACTCAACTTTTCCACTTAATAAGTGCTAAGTAGAATAGTTTTGAAAGTAAAATTTCACTATTCAAAGGAATCACTTAAATAATTTCTGAGGAAAAGCTTTCTTCTTTACCTTTCATCAAGATAGATTCTCAGTTTTTTCCAATTTAGCGTTCTTGTACAGAAGATAAACTTCGCTATTTCCTTTGGTGAATCATCTAGGATACCCTTGGACATGAAGTAGTTTACCCCCTAAAGCAGAAAGATAAGTCTGTGTAAATAAACGCAGTCTTTATTTACAAATTGTAACAATCACGCAATAGCTGAACCACATAACTATAAATTCTTTTCAGCAACACTAGACTTTTATAGCTTTATCATGCAAAATACAAGCTAGAACCTGAACTGAAACTATTATTTGTGGTTGACAGTTTACATGCAATGAAAAGTAGGAAATTCAAAGTTAAGATTCCTAAAGAAATCTGAATTTAACTGGCTCATGTCAGGTAAAACTAACTCTACAGAAATAATGGCCTCGTCGGGGAGATGATAAAGAAGAAACCACAGCACAGACTATAAAGTGAGCCTTGTGACAAACACTTCCCTTGCTTACAAGGAAACATTATTTCCTAAAGCTTAGATGTATATTATAGATGCATGTTTGTAAGAAAAAATAACCTCTAAATGAAAGATTAACAATTTTATTGTGAAGAAACACAACTAAATTACTTAAAGTAGACCAAGCTACTTTCAGGGCTGACTTTAAGCATCACTACATTTTGCAAGAATCTAGTGCTAATACACTCCAAACCAAAACAGAGTAACACAAGACAGTTTCAATGGTTTTCATAGGGTTTATCTTTGAATTTCCTTTTCTCTGCATGCAAAATTTTTCAGAGAAGCATCACCCAGTTTGTATCTACTTTAGATTTAAATCAACAGCAACAAAACATCAACAAAAACATCAAATGCTGAAACCAGTGCTGTCTCACATATAAGGAGGTCACATTCAAACAATGTCCTGGGTGGATTGGAATGTGCACTTATTGAAATAAAGGGCAGGTGTGTTTATTTCAACTTGCAGTTACCCAGATCCATGCATTCCCATGAATGCTGAAGTCTGGATAGCAGCGTGATGTGTGGGGCTAACTGGTAGAGAAAATGATGCATCATAGACACACCACACGCTTTTCACACATAAATTTCATCATCCTGTCAGCATTTCTTTACAAACACATAGCACTCAGAAATACTGCATATAGAATTTAAAAATGTGGAAGAGTTTCTATAGACTCAAAGAAAAATTTTCTTGTAAAAGTCTCTATTAAAAAATTTAAACAGCAATTTGGTACAATGAAGCAATGTTTTTGAAAAGTTAAAATTATAAATTGTAATTCAAAGATAAGATTTTTATATAAAGGTAATTTGAAGAGGCATATGAATAATATCTTACTAGCAATGCTAAATCTTCATGTGAATTTTCATAGTCCAAAGGCAATTTAGCAAGGCATTGATTTAAAAAATGTGTATTAAAAAACAGCAGAGTCAGATTTTCCTATTATCTCAACTGAAAGCCACATGTCGCTGAGCCCTAGACACAAGGTTAGAAAATATAACAGGAAGAAGACAGAGAGCCAAAACCGTGCTTGGAATGAGGCTCCCAGCAACTGCCTGGGGAGGGAGGGACCCCCACAGAAATGGTAAAGCTTGTTCCGTCCTTTCCTCCATTAGTTTGAGTAATCGAGAGTTGACTGTATAGGTAACTGATCTGCTTAGCAAAACTGAATGAGTTTCATTTCCAAAATCTCTTAGTGTAAAAAATAACAATATTTTAGAATTGTTTCCAGTGCTAAATTTTAATCGAAGTGGCTAAATGACAAAGAAATGTAAACTAATACTCAACAGATTCTGTATGCATACCTAAACCACCATTTAAGGTCTATAAAACTAACCCTAATCTACTTTTTAATCATCATGCAAAATAAACCCACTAAAGGTGATCCACTGATTCAAATGCAATTCCTAGTGACACATGGCATCTTAATATTATTTGATGCTTACTTAGTTTTAAAGTAAGCTTTCTATTCCTTCCAGGCTGGTCTCTTTCTTATGGAACATGTTTTGAGAACTTAAATATCTAACCTGCGTTTCCTAAACTCAGTCAAATATACTGTATAGGAATAAGCACTTCCTATACAGAAGTTTCAATCAAATCCTGAAAATTGGGTAGAGCCCTTAAATAAACCAACTGTTGATTTCACGAAGCAAGTCTGAGATCTCTGGCAAAGATTATGTTAGAAGGGCAAAGGAATGACATACAGGAAAAAACCATGGGACCAGATCATAATTGTCTCAGTAAGCAGGCTGGCAATCATCTGAATTCTAATCTTTTATTAATAATGAAATATAACAATATACTGCAGCTTCAGATCTGTGAACTAATCATGTTTATTTAATAAGTGGTTTAAACATTATGTTCTTTAATAAAGGTTTTCTGGGGGGCTAACAGGAATCAAACTCAGGATTTCACACTTGGCAAGCAGGTGCTGCACCACTGAGCTAAATCCCTAGCCCAATAAAGATTCGGAAGGAAGACACAGAGCCATCTCTAGGCCACAGAGTACAATGATCAGTCACAACTAGAACTCTCAGGTGTCTGTGCATGTATCTATTTTACCTCTCAAGGCAAAGGAAATTATAAGAATAGGTATTAGTCTACATTAATATAAATATATTTTCCAATAGAAGGAAAGGTACAGCTTGGTATAGTCTACATGATTATTTATGAGGCATATTCACAAACTACAAGTTAGGCCGAGTGGGATTGTTGAAAGGTGTAAAATTCATGTTATATAAGGAGGAATTGAAGAATATCCTGGTATTAAAGAAAATGTTTTAAAAATATATTAAAAAAAGAAGAGATTAAGACCTTAAGACATGAGAAAGACTATGTGTTTTAAGGAAACAGGAACAGACACTGTACATAGTCTTTTTATTATTTTATTTTACTCTTTGGTACCAGAGATTGAACTCAGGACCTTGGGCTTGCCAGGCAGGCACTGAAGCCACTGATCCATCTTCCTGGCCCTGTACAAAGTCTTAATGAAGACCTTAAATTATATTTTGGGCCTTGAATCCCTCTGCATATGGTGAAAGCTCTCCAGAACTTCTTCACATTACAATGGAAGCAGGATGGTTTGGACAACACTGTACTGTGCATTTCTGCTGTTATATGGAAAGAAGCAGCTAATGCTTTAATTTGCTTCATATCCTTTTTTTAATTGTTAGTACTTCTTCTTTTCTTAATTTCTTATACATTTCTTTTTTCCTTTCTTCTTCCAATTTTACATGCATATATCTAGTAATATGAATAACTGCTTGGAAGACAACACAACAGTACTACAACAAATACTGTGTAATTCACATTATTTTGTTAAGTGAAATTTTGTATTACTTGTGATATTTTTCTGTTTTAATTCTAATTTGTACTCTAAAAACTTAAAAAAAATCATATGCATGTGCAGCATTTAAAAATTTTAAGTTTATTTTGTGTATGCATTTAAAAAATACAACTTATGGGCTGGGGAAGATAGCTCAGTAGAATAAGCGCTTGCCTGGCAAGCACAGTATCCTGAGTTCAATCCCTGGTACAGAAAAAAAAAAAAAAAAAAAAAAAAAATTAAATGCTGACGCCAGTTAAAGGACTGAAGGTTAGGAAGTTATATTCCAGATGTGTGAAGGACAGTGAGTGTAGGTTACAAGCAGGCTAGTCAGTGCTACATAAGGAAAGCCATGCTTGCAAATATAGCCAAGCCATCAGTTTGTCATTTATTTCATTTTCACACTTCCAAAATAAACATCAAACTTACTAATTTGTTTATATACATTTTAATTTATTTTATTTTATTTTATATTTTTGTGTTTAGGACAGGGTGTACAGGGACTACAAGTTCTCACTGAGTACATCGGCTTCCCAGTGATTTGCCTGTTTACAGCCTCCAAGTGCTGGGATTACACATGCGTGCCACCATGCCCAGTCTCAATCACCTTCTCAGTGTACTCCAGGGGTAGGGCCGGCAGGGCAGGCCAGGGGAATCGAACTCCTGGCCACTGCATCTGCCTAAGCAGGTGCTTTAATCCTCTGAGCTATTTGGCTGTCCCTACACTTTAATTTCTTTATGCGAATTAAAAACTGCTCAACTTTTAGAATTATTTAAATTGTTGCAGTCACATCATAGTTCCTTTTTTATATGTGGGGAAAATTCCAGGACATTCTTAGCAGACAACTGAGAGAAAAATTATGATGGTGTCAGTTTTATGATGGGTTGGCTCCACACATAATAAACTCTCATTAGCTGTCATATAACTACTGGACAAAATAGATGGTCTAAAAAAGTAGTCCTTTATTCTTTCTTAGAAATGTGTGTGTGTGTGTGTGTGTGTGTGTGTGTGTGTGTGTGTGTGTTTTCTGTATTTAGGACAGAGTCTATAGGGTCTCATTACATAGATCAGACTTGCAGTGATTCTCTTGTTTTCAGTCTCCCAAGCACTGGGATTATAGGCATGTGCCACCAAGCCCAGTCTCAATTGCCATCTCAGCAAGCTCCAGGGGTGGGGTCAGCACGGCAGGCCCAGGAATCGAATCCCAGCCACTGTGCTCTGCTTCAGTAGGCACTTTAGTCCACTGAGCTATCAGGCCAGCCCTAAAAATGTGTGTTTTAAGAAAACAAAACCAATTAAAATTGTCTACACCTTCATTAAAGCTATATTATACACAGATACTATGTGTCACATATTCAATAACTGATAGTAACTGATAGTATAAGACACAATGTTGCTCTTCAAAATTTAAACTTTACCTAATTGATGAGACAGTTACAGAAATACCTAGACTATACACATGTGATAACTCAAATTATATACAGTAGTTGAATACAGCCTAGATGAAAGAGAATAAAAAATAAATGTTCTAGTAGTTCAATGAGAGGAAGAATCACCAAGAGATTTTAGGATAAAGTATGAAAAAATGATAGATTGGTAGCTGTGAGGGGAACATGGGAGAAGAACATTTCAGCTGATATTGTACTATGTGAGTAAAAGCAATATAAAATAAAATCTCAAGTAATTTTCAGGAAAGAGAGGAAAACACCGTTGGTTTGAGAGCAAGTCTGAACTACACTGTAGAAGTAACATGGAATCCTAAGGTGAAATACCTATTCTCTACCCATATGCAACCGCAAGCCTTTGTAGAC